TCCAGTAATCCCACTTCTGGGTATATAATCAAAGGAAATAAAAATAGGGTATTGAAGAGCTATGTGCATTCCCATATTCATTGCAGCATTATTCACCATAGCCAAGATATAGAAATAACCTAAGTGTCTGTCAAAAGTTCAATGGATAAAGAAGATGTGATTTACTTACACATGCGCACACTGGAATATTAATCAGCCACGAGAAAGAAAAAAATCCTGCCATTTGGAACAACGTGGATGGGCTTGAAGGCATTACACTAAGTGACATATATCAGAGAAAGATGAATATTATATGATTATCACTTATATGTGGAATCTAAAAAAGCTAAACTATGGAAGCAGAGTAGAATACTGGTTACCAGGGGTTGGAGCTGGGGAGATGTTAGTCACAGGATACAAACTTCCAGTTAGTTCTGAAAGATCTAATGCACAGCATGGTGATTATAGTTATCAATACTGTATTATATACTTGAAAGGTGCTAAGAGAGGAGATCTTAAATGTTCTCACCACATGAAAGAAATGGTAATTATGTGAGGTGGTAGAGGTATTAACTAATTCTACTGTGGTAATCATTTCATAATATATAAACGTATCAACTCATCACATTATACACCGTAATGTTCTATGTGAATCATAGCTCAATGAAGCTTGGGAAAACAAGACAACCAACTTCACTATTTGTGTGTGCTCTGTCCCAGAGATATTTTATGCATATACAATCAATTCCGCAGAACTACTGTTTTATTTTAGCACAGACTACTACACATATTCTTCTGTGTTTTGATTTTTCCATTTAATATATGTCAGATTATTCTAAGATATGAACTCCTCAAAGTTGTGAGGGTTTGTTCTTTAAAAAAATTGATGGAATTTCAATGGGTGATAATTTCAAGAGATTGTGGAATGCTGGAGATTATTTTTTCCAGTATGGGGGTTAGAGAAACCTGAAAAAAAAATCCCAAACATAATTTATCTCAAAGTTCTTAAGAGCAGCAAATATATGATTACCTCAGGTGTAAATATCTCAGATTTAGATAAATCAGATTATTTGTCTCTCTTGCCCTTTAAAAATAACCTCTATCCTATTTACTCTACTTCCCTGGTTAATTACTGTGTTTCTCCCAGGAAATTAAGTATCTTGGATCTTACAGGTAAATGGGCCTTCCTGGATCTAGGAAGACCTAACTCTTCTAGAGGCAGTTATTCAGGCTCCTGAGTGCATCTGAGTGTCACCTCACAACTGCCCACTAGAGGGACCACGAACCCTTTTCCCCTTCCCTTCTGGCTCTTCGTTTCCCTATTTTATTTCAGGCTGGAGGCCCTCTAGAGGACTCATCTTGCTGGTTAACCCTTAGAGCTAAGCCCAGACCTACACTTTGACTTAAAGCAAGCAGAATTCTTCTAGGAAAAATTTGTATATTCCTTTCAAGAGCTCAAGAGGAGGAGTTACTGAGGTCTGCAGTCCTATTCCAAAATGGGGTGTCCTCTTAGGTCCAATTTGAATCTCTCACTAACGAGTTTGCCATAAAAATTCCTTGAGTTGGGCTAAAAACCAATATGCATACTCCGTATAAATATATGAAGTATATTATATGCTAAAGCATATTAAATACTGTTTACAGTCTTGAGCGCTATCTTCAATAACATTTTAATGTGTCTGTTTGAAACAAGCAACATCTATCTCTATGAGATGAGAGCAGTTTGAAATTCAGATGCCATTTTGTCTTACCACAGCTTCCTAACACAAATACCTAGGCACTCCTTAGTAACACCAGTGTTTTCCTTTTAGAGAAATAAGAGAGGAAAAATTGAGGAAAGACAACAGATCCTCTGGCCAGAGACTTCTCAGCTCAACAGCTAAGAAATGGCTCACAAACTGAGGTCCCCATTGTTTCTGGATCGCAGGCAAGGCTACGGAATTCACAGTTTCTGACCTCCAGCCCCACTGTGCTTTGATGGACCACATCTCTGGGGTGACTTTAGGCCTTCTGTTCCACACCCCAGGTACCTGGTCACAGTGCACCTTTCAAACCCTTTAAGCTTTTGGAACAGTCTTCAGATGAAACACTGGAAAACACACAGAGGCTTCTCCCTCATGACCCCATACCCCCAGGTAAACACACCAATAAACTGGGATTCCCAAGGGCTGAGATATTTAGGGGTTAGGTAAGTGACTAGATTTGTCAGGGACAAGCCTAGGCTTTGAGAACATGACATACTGCACGTTATGTTGAGGATGGGAAGTGGGGCCCTGGCCTCCAGGGTCCGTCTGGAAGCTGCCTGCGAAGGCTCTCGGGGCTGATCCTCCCATACATTCACTGAGCCTAGGTGGCCTCCGCACAGAAACTACTCAGTCTGACTGCTGCCTGCAGGCGGGCCCAGGAGACCCCACTGTGTGATAAATGTGAAAAGATCAAGCTTTTCAAAAATTCTCCGGTAATTTAAACTTGAATAAGTAAGTGATGAAGAATGATGTTCAGGGGGTGCCTGGGTGGCTCAGTCGTTAAGCATCTGCCTTCGGCTCAGGTCATGGTCCCAGGGTCCTGGGATCGAGCCCCACATCGGGCTCCCTGCTCCGAGGGAAGCCTGCTTCTCCCTCTCCCACTCCCCCTGCTTGTGTTCCCTCTCTCGCTGTGTCTCTCTCTGTCAAATAAATAAATAAAATCTTTAAAAAGAAAAGAATGATGTTCAGAAAATTTCAGAAGGGAAGTTTGACAAATTCCTAGAGCTCCAGGTGTTTACCAAATAGTGAGGATTTACTCAACATCAGTCTTTGAAATCTGGTCTTGTGTTGGGTAATTACAGTCATGAAACGACCCTGTCGGCATCAGCAAGCCCAGGACTCACTTAAATAGTCACAGTAACAATGCTTCTGTGCCTGTCAACTCTGAGCCTTCCCTTGTTCAGCTGATTTCCTACAGAGACTTGGTACTAGTCATAGTTACTGTCCCCACTGAAGCAATCTCTTACTTAGTCATTAAAAGCCACACTAAAATTCTAATCATCTACCCCATTTCTTCTCAAGGCTCTATCTTTAGTATTGTGTATAGGAGGCCCAGCCACGTTTCTAGGCACTTAAAGCCCTCCCACCCCATTGGTATTTCTCAAAGTGTGAATCTCAGGGGACCTTCATTGATTCTGCTGGGCCACAGGCCAGGCCTCATCAGTGCTCTGTCATTGGACTCCCTGGGTTAGGGCTAGGAAACCTCCTTGCCAGAAAGCTCCTGGGTGACTCTTCCATGCACCAGACTGGGTGGCCCACTGCCCTAGAAAGAGATTCTCTGTGTTCGACAGCTCAGTTAGACATAACACTTTAGAGCAAAAGGTAAAGGGAGCGCCAGGGAAAGGCAGTTCAGTGTACCCACCAGCACCCAGCAAATCTGTGGCATAGCTGGCTTCATCCTGGCATTTCCTCAGGGAAGGGCGGGGTGGATTTTTCTAGGCAGGAAAATGATAGGATTCCTTAAAGCAGACAACAGGACAGTGTCCTGTTGGCCTTCTTTCCAGAGAAAGCCATCTTTGGAATCTCTGTTGAAAAATGCCACCTCAGGGTGCCTGGGTGGCTCAGTCGGTTAAGCACCTGCCTTCGGCTCGGGTCATGATCTCAGGGTCCTGGGATCGAGTCCCACCTCGGGCTCCCTGCTCGGTGGGAAGCCTGCTTCTCCCTCTCTCTCTGCCTGCCTCTCTGCCTACTTGTGCTCGCTCTCTCTGGCAAATAAATAAAATCTTTAAAAAATGCCACTTCAGTCCATGTCAGAACCCAGAAGGAAGGAACTTCCATAGGAAACACAGCAGGTCTGGGCCCAGGGGCCAGACACCTTCCTCCAGCTGCAAAGTCGGACTCTGTCCAAGGCCGCGGGTCCCATGCGATCACACAATGCAGGCCAATTGCACTCACTCATCACAGTGAAACCTGAGTCCTTGCTGCTCCCACCCTCACCCCCAGATAATCATCTAATTAAATAATTCATTATACTGGAAGTCAGCAGGGTGCCTAGGCAGGGTCCATCTCCTGTCACTGACTGTTGACTGGAGCCCAGCCTGCTCAGCAGACTAACTATAAAGCATCCCCCACCACCGCAAGCACCAAGGGAAACCTGCCTCATGTGGTTTGACCCCAGACTCAGGAAGGCACAAGCAGGTAGGGAAGGTCTTCAGAGGCTTTCTCCCGCTCCCTCTTCTTCCTCCTTCCCCGGCCATTGGGAACCACTGCCACCTAAGGACAGGGCTCTCCGCAGAGAAAGCGACACCCTTTTGCCTGAAGATCTCGTTCACCGGCCTTTGAACTTCACCGCTCTTATGCACCCGAACTGCCCATGTTCCCAAGCCCAACCAGGCCACCCAGCACGCATCAGAGAAAAAGGGAGGGGCAGGAGGTAGGAGGAAGAGCTGGAGGTCCCAGGATGCCAGCCCGCCAGCCCACCAGCCCACCCCGCCGTGGCCTTCAAAGCTCATCCTGCCCCTGCACCCTTGGCCTGCAGCGGCGAGGGGGACCTGGCCACCCCTGGCCCTCTCCCACCTGCTTTCCTCAGTCTGTACTGGGCTAAGACCAACGCCTAGGTCATCCTCAGCTATTCAGCCTTCCACGTGGTTTCCAGAAAGGCAGAAGCCCCAGTAATAGCTCCCTGGCCTGTCCCTTTGGCATTAGCTCTACCTGCCTTTATCAAGGCCACTTATTTTCCACAGCCCTCTGGGTCTGCTTGACATGTCCTGGACCAACTGCCCTCCTTATCACAGTGAAGCCAGAGTCCCTCATCCTTCCCTTCACTGTGCCTCAGTTCCTCCGTCTGTAAGAGGAGCACAAACAATAGGACCTACTGCACTGGACTCTTCGAAGGAATAAAGCAGTTAAAAGTGTCAAGTGCTCAGGACTAAGGAGCCAATAAGCATGGACAAGGATTATTTAAAGAGCCAGTTTAAGAGAACTGGGCAGTGCTGAAGCCATGAATTCTTTCCTTTGAAAGGAGACCCTGTGGCAGTCTCACGTCGGGGCACTCACCTCCCATTCCAGATGGTGGCGACCTCTGCCGGGCGGGGTGCTCTCTCACTCCACTGGGACGGTTATCTGCGCGGGAGCACTGGGGGAGAACTCCAACCCTTAGATCCAAAGAAACACGAAGAATGTAGCCCGCTCTTAAGGGCCATGCCCATTTTGCTTCCCTTGACATCTTCCGAGCACCCCCTGCTAAGTCTGGGGACAGTAAAGGGTGCGGCTGGTGCAGCAGAACGGAGCGATGGCCCCGGGGGCCCTGCTCACTGGCTCCTACGCAGAGAGAGACCTCTCGTCGGACAATGGTCAAAGGAGGAAGATTCTCCTGGGGTGGGTAGGGGGCTCTGGTCATCTATGGTGCTCCCGGGATAGAGAGACCCAAGGAGGATGCCAGAGCTTCCACTTGGCGCCTGGGCCTTTCCGGGTCCCTAGCACATAATTCCTTCCCGTCTCCTGCCCAAACCCACCCGCCAGAAACCCTGTTCCGCATCAGGGGGCTCCTCTGGGCTTTTCCAACAAAGTGGCTTCGCAGCGGGGCCCTTCTTGAACAGTCCCGAAAGGTAGGAGAAGGAAGAAAAGAATGGGGCGGGAAGGGATGGAAATGTCCCACCTGGGGACGGAGCTGGGGGTGGGGTGGGAGGGAAGTCTGGAGAAGGGGAGGGCCTAGGAACAATCCAAGGTGGGGAGCAGGTAAAGTCCATCCAATGCACTATGGCTTGGCAATAACAAGAAAGGAGCTGTCAGGCTATGAAGAGACACAGAGGAACTTTAAACGCAGGTTGCTAAGGGAAGCCAAGCTGAAAAGGCTACAGACTGACTGGCTGCAACTATATGGCCTTCTTTTAGAAAAGGCAAAACTAGGGAGAGAGTAGAAAGACCAGTGGTTGCCAGGGGGAGGAGGAGGGATGCATAGGCAGAGCACAGAGGATTTTTAGATCAGAGAAAAGTAGATATAGGTCTTTATACGTTTGTTGAAACCCATGGACTGTACAAAGAGTGAACTCTAAAGTAAACCGTGGACTTCAGCTAATAATAATGTACCAATACTGGTTCATCAGTGGTAGCAAATACACCACACTAGTGTTAACAACAGGGGAAACTCTACAGCAGAGTATGGGACCGCTGTGCTTTCTGCTCTGGCTTGCTGCAAACCTAAAACCACTCTTAAAAATAAAATCTATTAATTAAAGATGGCAAAAACAAGAAAAAAGCAAAACAAAACAAAACCCAAGCCAAAACCATCCCCCCCAAAAGCAAAAACCAAGAAGGTTGGGGCTAGAACAACAGCTCCCCCCTGCAGACAGGCTCCCCTTTGCAGACAGTCTCCTCCCTGCAGACAGGCTCCCCCCTCTGCAGACAGACAGGCTCCCCTTTGCAGACAGGCAGGCTCCCCCCTGCAGACAGGCTCCCCCTGCAGACAGGCCTCCCAAGCAATGCCTTGAATGTTAGGAGCCAAAGCCAGGACCCACTCTGTGTTTGAGATGTGGGGGCTGTGTTCCGGTCCCCCGCCCACCTCAAACACCATGACCTTCATTAAGGTCATTTAATTGGATTTATTTTCCCTTCCTCTCACTTAAGCCTGTTCTTTCCTCAGTTTGGGGGCAAAAGCCAATCTGGCTAAAAGGATTTGGCGCAGCTGGCTGGTGAATGCTGGTGGAAGTTTGTGCTTTAGATCGAGGCACCGAAAAAGGTCTGCCCTGTTGGGAAGCACTCTTTCCTCCCTGCCCCGCCTTTTCCCTCTAATTGGAGTGCATTTGGTCCAGGCTCATTTGTGCTTCCAATGGCATAGTCTGAGCCTAGGGGAGAGGCGCTACTCACCCTCCCACTGGAGATGGTCCCTCGGAGCGGCACGGCTGATGCCCAGGCACCCTTGGAGCGCCCGGAGGACTTCCCTCCTGGGCCCACAGTCAGTGATGCTCCTTGGAGCTGGGTGGTCCAAAAGATGGTCTTTGGTGGAAAAGAAGCCTCTTTCACTGCATGTAGTCCCAGCCCCAAGCCACTGGGTTCACACTGTGTGGCGACAACAGTTTCTGGGTACTGGTCCACACCACGTTTTCAGCGTGGAGGGAGGAATAAACCCCCAGCTTCCATGGTGACCTGGAATAACTCATAATCTAGGCTCATGATTCACACATTCACTATCAGTGTTGCTGCTTTCATGGCATTGGTGTTGGCAAGCAGAGAATGGACACGTGGGCATGGGCTTTTGGGTTGGGTTTGGATCCCATCTATTTACTTACCGGTTATGTGACCTGCAGAAGGTTAAGCACTCTTTAAGCCTTGGTTTCTTTGGCTGTAAAATGGGTGTTATAATCTGGTCTCACAGGAGACCTGAGGGAGAACCACACCAGCTAAGGGAGGGGGTATCTAGGGGCCATTGGCATGGGCATGTCCCCCTGCCCACCCCCAACCCCCACAAAAATGAACCCTCTTTCAATACTCCCAGGCTTAGCTTCCTGTAGATCCAGAATCAACAGATCGTCCTCAGAATCACCATGCGGCGGCTCTGGGCTAGGAATCGGATTGAAGATGAAAGTGGGTGGGGAGGGAGGGAGGAAGTGGGATCATTCTGAGAGAATTCTAATCCAGCACCAGGGGACCTATGCTGAATGTCCGGAGGCACAAATGGTGCTCGAGGTACAAGACAGTCTAGCAAAGGGGTCAGAAGATAAAGGACACGCTAGGAGGGAGAAGGTCCTAGAAGGATTTTCTGGTGACCTCAGGGGATCGACAGGGGTGTAAGAGGCATCTCTGCGAAGTGGGGGGTGTAAAGGAGCACGCTTCCTGGACCACAGCCTCACAGAGGCACTGGAAGTGGGCACAGAACACCCGCAGCTCGGGAACCCACCCCCGGGACGCTCACTGCAACCAGGCAGGTTCATCTCTGTTTATTTTTTCAAAACAAAACTAAAAGTCACCACTCAAAATATTTGAGAAGAGTGCTCAGCTCACAGTTAAAAGCTTTATGCAATCTGCTGCCAGAGCATCATGGACCGGTGGTCAGAAACGAGCGCTTCTGGCATGGCTCAGACCCGGCCTGGCGGCCTGAGACCGCCCTCTCTTGCCCCGTCAGCCCCATTAGGGTTCTGTGCATGCTGCCACCCAGGGGCAGCAGCCTGCCCACGTATGCGGAGGGGGACGGCATCCCCAGGTTACAAGACATCTCGGTTCCCCACTGTGCTTCTGATGGTCCAAGAACGTCCACAGAGAAGGCAGGCAGGTCGAGGCCCAGGGGCTAGTGTCAAGCTGAAAACCAAAACCGCAGTTCTGGCTCTGCGTCTTCACCTAGAAGGGTGAACTCCCTCGCCTGGGGCCCTCCAGGCTCAGAGGGGGAGAGACAGACTGGGCACCATCATCGCTCGTGCTTAATGTGGGCTTCACTTCGCTCCAACGGGACCCCGTTGCCGTTCCGAGGGCCTTCCTTCTTGTTCCAATCCTTTTCGGTGTACAACTCAGCCAGCACGGGGCAGTGCTCAGAAGCCACTCCGCCCCAGGACCAGTTATCTGGAATCCAAGGGTTCGTGAGGCCTTCTCTCACTACGGCCCAGTGACCTGGAGGGAGAGGGAAGAGAGACCCAGCTATCAGGCCTGGGGCCAGAGGGGACCATGGGCTGGCGGGTGGAGGCCTCTGCCACAGCTCTGCTAGCCAGGATGCCCTGACAATACCCCTCAGATACCCAGCCTGCCGGGGCAAACGTCAGCAGCAAGAATAAATATCTGATGCAGGGTCAAATGTCTCTCAGTGATGTGATAGCTCATTACGGATTTGATTCGCATTTCCCTGATGATGAGTGATGCTGAGTGTCTTTTCACATACACGGTGACATTTTTTTCCAAAGAAGACATAGAAATTGCCTATTCAGTTCTTTTGCTCATCCCTGAACCTGAGTTTCTAGAATTTCATAGCAAGGGGACCGATGAAATGACTTCTGACTTCCTTTTGGCCCTGTATTCTCTTCTGATGAGAGCATGCCCTCCTGGCACCCCGGGCCAGCTGGGGCCGACCTCTGGCCAGCCGTGCCTTTCAAGCAAACTGTATCTCACCTAGTTGGATGATCGTCACTCCCCCTGGGACCCACTTCCTTCATCCTTCAGACCCGCACCCAACACAGTCCAACAGGAAAGCAGCACCCAGAGAGAGAGGTGCAAGAAGCTGGTGACATAGTCTGGACTGGAAATTCTGCTGCTAAGGATCTCAGGCCTGGCTGCCCATGAGGTGCTCCCAGGTCAACTCCAGAACTGATACTTTCACACATTGTCAAAGTCTCACTGAAGTATAATATGGATAACACGTTGGGCCTTAGCAAAGCAGCCAGGCAGGATTGAGAACCATGGTTCCTGTCCATCAAAAGACATTACCTGTCACTGTCCTATTTCTGACTAATTGTTTCCTGACCCAAAGTCTGCTCGGCAGCTTACTGGTTTGGGGGTGGCAGGGACTGCTTCGTAGCGCTGAGATTACCCACTGCACCCTGGTCCTCATGCGGTCCGGGTAAAGCACGCAGAGCATCCTGGGAGGATGCTGAGGATGCTCTGAGAGGTGTCTGCTCATCCTCAACGGCTGCTTCTCGGGGCACCGACAGCGGGTCAGGAAACCACAGGCCACAACACAGCGCCTGCATGTGACGAGGCTTGAGGAACGCTTGCTAAATGACTAAGTGTCCTTAAAATTACAGTAAGCTATTGGTTCGTCTCAGAATCGGTACTCTACTGGCCTAGAACCAGGTTTGCCCCTGCTGAAGATCAGTGAATGCCTTTTAATAATTTTTCACAGCCCCCCTTCACTCTTAAGAGTGGCTCTGTTTGAATGATAGTGACAGAGGTGCCTAAACCCTATATAATCCTGTAAATGCCCACAGAGGAGGTAACAGAACTCCCGACCAGAGTTATCAAACCAAAGGATCTGGAACTGTCAGTTTGGACAAGTCTCTCTTATTCCATTTCTGAACAGGAGAAAGACTGAGTGACCTCTGTTTTACCTGTGAAAACCTTCTTTAAGCTTTTACTGATCCAGATGTTGTCCAGAGACTTTGAGCCTTGGGGATTCTTGGTGCTGATGTTGGTGAAGGTGTGCGCAGGGACCAGGTGGTAGAATTTTTCTTTCCTCAAGATATCATAGTCACTGCTGTCAGGACCCTGGCCAAAATCCCCTAAAAAAATCATGTCTTTTTCTCCTGCAGGAGGAAGAAAGAAGGATCAGGCATTCAGGAGGCGGAGGGAGGGAAACCCAATATTGATCACAGCCCACAAATTGGGATCTCGAGTCTCTGACTGGACTCCCCAGGGTCAGGAATGCGTCTGTTTCTTGTTCTTCCAATTTTTCTAAATACCTTGTGCAACAAAAAAACCAAGAAAACCCCCAACATACCACAGGATTCTAAGATTAGGTTAGTAACATATTTGGAAAAGGAGAGCTACGTGATACAGAGATCACTCCTGTTCCAGCTCACGTGCTCCAAATCTCATGGAAGAAAAAGCCCGAGGGCCTCGCCTGGCTATTTAATAAGAGCTTGACAAACATTCACTGGGTACAGTGGGGAAAACCGTGCAAAGATACAAGACGGTGGCCATCTACAGGTCAAGGAGAGAGGCCTCAGGAGAAACCATCCCTGCCCACACCTTGTTCTCAGGCTTCCAGCCCCCAGGACTGGAATGAGGAAATACATTTCTATTGTCTAAGCCACCCAGACTGTTGTATTTTGTTATGGCGGCCCTAACCGACTAATACAGGGCCAGAGTGGAAAGGTTTTCTCTTTAAAGTATTTCCAACATTTCTACCATTGCTGGATGTACACGAGAGTAAGTGGAGTCATCGTAAAGTATTTCCCAGATGGAGCAGACATTCTGAGAGGACAGTGGACCCCAGCTAAGCTCTGGGATTCCCATCGTCTCTGCCTAACCATTACTTCCGGTCTCCAGGTTCCCTCAGGGGAGCCACATTATTGTGGGGAGCAGTGTTCCCGTCCTAACTTGCAAGGGAAGTTTTGAGGAAAGCAGTTCATGAATGAGAGCCAAACATATCTGAGACACTCAGCAAATCATTTTCCTGGACACCAATAGGTTGCAGCAATATTAGCTAGAGGCAAAGAAATCTGACATGAAATGACACAAGCTACCAGCAGAGGGCACTCGTGCCCTGCAGAGGTCACCCCCCACCACTAGAGGCCAGGAGGGACAAAAAGGGGATGGGATGGAAGACTCTTGTGGCCCCACTGTGTGGCCTACAGAGATGTAATGGTACCTCTACGCTCTATCTCAACGACCTTGGTGCCCACAGCAGGGCAAGCTCACGCGGTCCTGAGAAATCAGTGCCGACCTCAACAGGAAAAGACTTGAGAACAACTCCTACCTGACCAGTGCTGATGCCCGTCCGTGAGCCCTCACCTGGTATTGGGCCCTCTCCACAGGTAAGGAGCTAAGTCCCTGAGAGGCTGAATGGCTTGCTCCAACTCACCAGGCCAGGCCTCAAGTCCAGTGCTCTTCACAAAGAGCTAGAACGGAAGAGCCACGAGGACATGGGTGGCTGTTCTTCACAAAATCCCACGTGCCTGGAACAAGGCCTGCTGCATGGCAGACACTCGATAAACACGTATGCAATGAATGGATGAATGAGGCATGAGGAAAACCCCAGAATTAAGATGTACTTTTTGAAAGGAAAGAAGAGAATGATGCTATATTTATTAAATAACAAGAAAAACTGAACGTTATTAGAGAAGAGGCAGAAGGTTCCCATATAATGAGAGAAGTTTCCATTGGGAAGCAGACCTGAAAAAGTCTGGGCCAAAAAAGCCAATTCTGAAACTAGGAGAGATGCTGGTGTCAAAGGTCAACAAAGCCAGCTCTCTGTGTAACTTCAAGAATGAAAATTAACAGCTCTCTTTCTGAATGGGCACAGCCAGATCTACGACTCATCTGCTTTCCATTAAATTGGTGTCGCTGAGGACATCGACACGGTCCTTGCCTCTGAGAATCCGCAGGTGCGCAGAGAACTGAACTCTCCTAGAAAGCCATCTGCCTGGGGTGGGCTCCTTGGTTCCCAGGAGTAAGGGGAGAACGCTTGGGGCAGATTTCCTCAGACAGTCCCCAGATTTGTAGAATGCCAGCGACAACAGCAGAAGCTGGTCCCCACTGAGGGATGGTCCAAGCCAGATGCCAGGCATGACTACGCACCGTGTTTCACTCTAGTGGAGTTCACAGAGTGAGTCCCGGCGTGGGGGGGGGGGGCAGAGGGTCTGAAAGAACACTCCATCAGAGGACTGGCCCATACGCTCATGTCAACCCAGACACACATTCCAGACCAAGGCAGAAAGGCCTAGAGTTTGCTAATCAAATTGCTTCTGTTTGCTCTGACAGAGAGGCTATGGGATAAAAAGCTCAGTCTTTGTTTTAGCCCCACCACCTCTGCTAATAATCGATTGGCCCCTGCACGTTGGGCAGGCTGGAGTGCTTCCTGAATCCTTGGGCCTGCTGTGTCACCTATTAACTGGGTATTTGTTATAAGCACAAGGACACAGGGAACATGAGTCACCGACCATACCAGGACAAGTCAAGGTGAGACAGGCTGGGGATCAATAGTCCCCTTGGCAACTTGGTACAATAACCTGCTCACTCTCTGGGTGTCAGAAAAAAATAGTAAGAAGTTACCAGAGAAGTTATGAACCGGCATTTTCCCTTTCTGCTTCCGTGTACAGACAAGGACGAGCTTGAGGTGGAGAACAATAGAAACGTCCAGAGATGTTAAAGGCTATCAGGTCATCCTTTTTAATAGGTTAGAAACTAACTGTGGGTGAACAATTTCCCACAGAGATGCTTCTTGGGTGGAGTATCTCATCTTAAACACCTTTCTGACTTTTTTTAAGCCCCACAACTCCTCTAAGCGAAGTAGAACACTGGCCACAGCACATCCTGGTTCAAAATGTAAGTTGCCTATCAATGTTCAGAGCAGCACTACTCACAACAGCCAGAAGACCATGAGTAGATAAACAAAATGCGGTAGAGACAGAAATGGAATAAACAGTATTTGGCCTGAAAAAGGAAGGAAACTCTGACACAGACTACACTGTGGATGAACCATAAAGACCTAATGTAAGTGAAGTAAGCCAGCAGCAAAAGGACAAATACCGCACGATCCCACCTGGCGGAGGTCCCCGGAGTGCTCGAATTCATAGAGCCAGGAAGGAGAAGGGCGGTCACAGGGGGCTGGGGAAGGGGACAGCGGGGGCTTCATGCTGAACGGGCACAGAGTTTCAGTTTGGAAAGATGAAAACACTCTGCAGACAGATGGATGGCATGGTGGTAAGACCATGTAAATGTATGTAATGCCACCGAACCATACCCTTAAAAGTGGTCAAGATGGTGAATGTCACGTCCTACATACTTTGCTACAACCAAAACAACTTTTTAAGATGTAAATTTATAATGTGACCAAATTATTTTTATAGCTGGATGCTCATGAATCACCCATGGGAGGGGCCCATCTAACCTGCAAAAAGCTTAGAAAACGAGAGAATTTTGGTGAGCGTGGAAGAGAATTACAGGCCTCCCGCTGGAAACCCTCACCTAAAGAAGGGCAGGGCTCTGAATAGCCAAGCCAAGCTGACAAGAGCCCAGTCGTCACAGCAGCGGCAACTTTTCCTTCCAGTAAACCCCGCACATGAGAACTTTCTGTATCACTGGGGCAGAGCCTGAGTGATAACCCAGAGACCCAACTCCCTCCTGAAGCTCTGCTCTTCTCAGCGTTCTGGTATTTTCTGAGTCAGCTGCTGTCTGCTGAGCCCCTACTATGTGCCTGGTTTGTCCACGGACAGTCACCGAGCCCACCGGGCGCCCCTGGGAGGTGAGCACCAGCTACCCGCCGACCAGATGGGCTTCAAGTCGTGTGGGGGCTCGCCTGAGGTCCTACAGCTACTGAAAGAGCCAAGATGAACATCCAGATTTCCTGAGAGTGCCGGGGCTCCTTCAGAGTGACCTGCATCCCATCAGGGAGAAAAAGCCTACTTGTGCTCACCAGGACTTTCCCAGTCCCCTGTCACCCACGGTCTCGCTCTCACAAGATGAGCACGTGCAAGTCTGCGTGTGGTACCACCATAGCGGCAGCTGAACCAGGAGGACTGGTCGCAAAGGAAGGTGTCATCACTCCCCCCGCCAAATCCTTTCCATCAAAAAGAGGCTAGAAGAGCCCCAAAGCCGATACCATGGGACATGCATGGTAGGCCTGCTGAAACAAAGATGTCACCATGCACAGGGGTGGCAGTCTTCTGCACCCTCAGTGTGCACCGCGGCTGACAGCCAGGGTCAGCCTTAGGGATTGGAGAGATGCTCAGAAGCAGCAACCCCATGCCTGCCCTCCAGAATTTGGGAGCTATTGGCCCAGCCATGGAGAAAGAGCATTTCCTACCTTTCAGGGTTTCCTGCAAGGTCTGTACAAAGCCAGCCAAACGGTGGCTGTCACTGTGATTCCTGCTAGGATTCTCGCCCCCTGGGAGGGTCAAGGCCGCCAGGTGAAGGTTCACAAGGGTCAAGTCATTACTTCCCACCTGAGGCAAGAGGAAACAAAGCAACACAGACAGGCTTAGATGTTCATATTTCCTGTATTCATTACTTCCGACTTACAAGCAGCTTCTTGCACGACGTTGACAACAGTGAACACAAACCAGGGTGGTCCACATGCCAAGCGCTAACGCAAGGTGGTTCAGGGTTAGATTTTTTTCTGAGGCACCTGGAGGACCAAAACTTACCCTGTTCTATCAGTCCACCCTCCTACATCACATCCTCTACTCCAACTTAGAGTCTGGAAAACCAGGCACATCTGGAAATGTCAAGTTTTGTTTTTTTTTTCCCTTTTAAGCAACGACAAGGGAGGAGGCGGCGGCTCTAGCAGCTGGTCATTAACCAAGACTGGGTTCTCACCCTCTAGGGCCCACCTGGGATCCCTCTGCCAGGACGCCCTTCTGGGACCCACCTCCTTTCCACCCCCCCACCCCCCCCCACTTTTTCCCCTCCAGAGACCGCTCTGCTCTGATGTTCACTTTCACCAGATTTCAAATGTGTCAAACAGGGAAGCCGGTTGCACCTCGGCAGCACAGACTATGCCCAGGCCTGCACCCCCAGGGTACGTGTGTGCATGCCACGGCGGGCCGGTGCCACCCCCCCAGTCCAGGGTGTGTGCCACGGCGGGCAGGTGCCCCCCGGCCCCCAGGATGCGTGCCGCGTGGGCAGGTACAGGAACATGCAGTCAGAGCTGGGCTGAGCACGGCAGCATTGCTCAGCTGCTCGGGGTTTGGCAATCCTGCCCTTCTGTTTGTCATGGTAACAGACACTAAACACTGCCAAGGAGGAAGGGGGTGCAGGGGGAGCCCCCAGGAAGTGGAGGCTGCCAGTTTCATCTTACACATGTGACCCCAGTTTGCCCACCACCACCCAGCCTGGAGAGCTCTCTGCAGCTGTGGCTCTGACCACAGAGGAACCACCGTGAGGCCACAGGCAGGGAAATCCGGCCGGGGGGTGGGGGTGGTGCTGGAGACGAGCGCCATCTCCATACCATACCACCTGTCAGCCTAGAAGGGGACAAGGACAGGAGGCTGAACTCCTGTCTGGGCCCTTTGAAGGATCTGGGCCAACAACTGATGAGACGTAGCATTTTCTCATTGGCCACTAAAAACAGCCAGCATGTGAGAGACACCGGTTGGTCTGGCTATGGCCTCGCCAGGTCAGAGCAAGCATCACCACCCACTGGGGCGTTAGGAGGATCTAAAGAGGATAACTGGCTGATTTTACACATCAGTCTCCTAAGCACAACCTGCAGACACCCCTAGGTGTGTGTGCACACACAGAACCTCAGCAACTTTGCAGCTAGGGGCATGAGCTTAGGCTAGACTCCAACCAGAGCAAACACAGCGCCCAGAACATGGGCTGCCCCAGCCAGAGGCTGCCAGAGACCGTGCTGTGGCTTGAGGTAACTCTCAGGCTCCAGAACTGCTCTGGAGCACACAGAAGGTGGTCCTCGAACACCCAGCAGGTGGCTTGCTAGGCTCTGTGGCAAGGGCCCACTCCTGCCCCGCCCTGTGATTTCCCCCTGTAAGCGCCAGGGGGATCGGGTCAATTGAATGCCGACTGGGTGATCCGGTGCCTGCTGGCTTCTTTTTCCTCCTTGTGCCCCGCTTCTGAGGGTTCGCTGTTCAGGAACACTCCCCAGGGACAGCCAGGGGAAGACTCATCTGGAGAGGTCAGGGGTGGGGTTGCCCTGGCCCCACAGCACAGAAGCTCCTCTTGAATCTCCTCTGAACCCAATGGCCCCTTGACGGTCAGCCCCTTCCCCCTAGCAAGGAGAAGAGGGTCTCCAGACAAGCTCTGCTTCCTCTAGTCCAGTGATTTCCAAATGTCAGAGGGATGAAGCAGCTCTAACGGGGTCTTTGAAAAATGGGCAGTCCTGGGCCGTAGCCCGGAAATTCCATGTGTTTGGGGTGAAGCCCAGGAATCCCTGATTTTAAGAAAATCTCCCCAGGTAATTCTGATGTGTGTTAGGTTTGGGAACCAGCCACCTGCTCTCCTTCCTGTCCAGACGCCAGAGTCATCAGAGGTAGAGTCCCCCAGAATCCTTCTCATTCCTGCCCTGGACAGGTTCATCAGTCAAGGGAACCCCAAGAGTACATGCTGACCTGACCCTGGGAGAGAGTAGATGCTGCTGCTCTGGATCACAGTTTAGAAAGGGACTCCCCCCGCCCACCTCGACCCCATTTTAGAAGTAGACCTTCACAGCAACACAACGGTACCTTGAACCGCGCAAGGTACAGGCTGGGCCCCATCGGCTTCCCGTGCCCATTACCAGGCGAATTTTCCTGCGAGGTGGCATCTCTCAGCTCTACCCCGGCTGCAGCATCCCACAGGAATCCAGAGAACCCGGCCCCCTGCAGGAGAAGAGGAGGCATCAGTTTGGAGACCAGTCTGTTTTGTGGCAGGGCTCAGCCCCGAGCTGGGGAGAAAAGGTAGGAGAAGCCAGGAAGAGACAAGGGGGGCTCTGCACTGGGTCCTGAGATCACATGCACAGGGCCTGTTTCTGAAACACAAGCATACCCCAAAAGCCACAGTGCGTTCCTCCTTGCCTTCTGCCCCAAATTTCCCATGTTGCCGATTTCAGGGTTTTAGGCGTAGCTATGGGGAGTGAAGGGAGGGGAAGCCCCGACTAAGCACAGAGTTATCTTTTTAATCATCACATCCCATGAGATGGGCACTCACAGCCATGTCCACCAGGCAGGGACTCAGCTGCTCAGAGAGGTTAAGTAACTTCCCTCAAATCCCACAGCTGGTAAACAGCAATGTTGAGATTCAAACAGAAGACTGCAAAGGGCTGGCTTTGCTTACTGGTTAGTTGCAGCTTCCATATATGTTTGCTGGATGGATGGAGGTCAGTGCTAACAGTCCCCACGGTTTAGAACCAGTCAAGGGCACTCTGCAGGTGGACAGGGCCCACACAGGGGCCTCCAGCCCGGGAACAAGGGCCTGTGAGGGCCAGTGGGTGGTGGCAGGAGTGTCCTGAGGTCTGGTGCTAACCGCTGCCAACTCTGCCTGCAGATGGGCCACTCTGAATCTGCCTGCTTCTCGCTGCTGTCCCTTCTGGAAAGAGGAAAAGCTTCCTCTCTCCACTCTATCCCAGCATCTGGAGGCTCTGCTGCCAGAGATCAGCAGTAGGATCTGTAGGCATCGCTGGAGGGGCCAGCAACACGTATTACTAAAGGAGAGGAAGGGACTCTGCGCAACCTGAGTGACCTGTGCCGAGTCCCAGTGTCCGCACTGGTCCCAACCCCATGCCTTGCTGGGCTCAGCACCTCCACTAGACCAACTCGTGGTGAGGAGGAGGGAAGGAACGAACAGGGAACCGTGTTCTGCATGCTGTGCACTTTGAGATTTATAACCACAGGCCTGCCCGCTCCCTGGAGAGCGCCCCAATTTAAGACCTGGAAGACCTGGATCTCAGGGCCAGCTGTGTCACTCCGCCATGGGACCACAGAGCCCTCCATTTTCTAAATGCGTCTACTCGGGTATCAAGTGACGGAAGTGGGATTTGCCCTTTCCACTTTGGAGGGTCATCTTCCCATTTACTGTTTCTCAAGCAGAGGTGGCAGAGTAACCTTCCTAGTGTACCATGCAGGTGGTCAGCTCTGCTTAAAAACCTTCCGTGGCTCCCCAGTGTGCGCTAGCCACTGCCCAACGAGCCCTCTAGGTAGGCACCGGCCTGTTCAGGCTGCCCTTCGCACCTGCTCACTGGTGTGCCCAGCAGCACCAGGCACTTCTGGGAGCCTCTCCCGGTCCCCTGGACCCAGGCGGCCCCTGGCTCTGGAAGAACTGTCCCACCTCCACGCGGGGCAGCCAGAGATCTGGGTGTCAGCGCCAGAGCGCCACCTGGGCTCGGGCCTGACCCCACCGTGGGGCAGCTAGAGGACGGGCAAGTCGTTTTGTCGTACAGAGCGTAGTTTTCTCATCTACAGACACCCCTCCAGCTGTGGGGCGAGGACTGGAGACCTGAACAGAGGCTGCCACTTGCCCACAGTTGTCCAGGGGAGAGATGGGATGTGTGTGACTCGCAGACACAATTTGCTAAACAGCATTTAAAAACACTTTAGCTTAAGTGTCCATATTTAAAAGCCAGGAAATTTCACATTAAAATCTAGGTATTTGCAGCTTTTGAGAGATTGGGAGATTTGTCCACACGAGGCCCACCAGCCTCCATGGCAACAAGGGTGTGATGAGCCAACTGCAGCCTGAGACAGGTATATGGACCTCCAGTCGGCACAGCCTGGCCAGCCTGCCGCCTCATGCGAGCCCTGGCCTGTGTTTGGTTAATGGGGCATTTCAGTGCACATGATCTTTTTAAATCCTACAGCAACCCAGTGATTGACTAAAGGAAGGGGAGAGTGCTCCCATTTTAGAGATGAAGGAACTGAGGCTGAAAAGTTGAAGTGGCTTGACCTTGGGTCTCCCTGCAACTGCATACTATCTTCCAACGGCCTTGCCACCCCAACCTGGAGTAGGGGTTCCTGCCTCATGCCTCCAACAGGCTGTGAGCTCCTGAGGGAGGGGCTCCATCAGCTCGGAAGGGATTCTTGCCCTGGGCTTGCAAGGACTAAGAACAAAGCAGGGCTGGGTTCCTGGGTCTGTTTTTCTCACAGATGTGTATCTGCATGTGGCACAGGGTCTGGCACGTGGTAACCTTTCTGATGATTTCTCAGTGGATAAACAGTGTTAAATGGACTATGAGAGCCTAGTGAACCTACGTATGTATAAAGTGCTATATATATATACTTTTTTTTTTAAAGAAGGCGAGGTGGTATTATTTCTATATGGACTGAGAAGGGACAGCCATGGGCTACAGAGGTGAAGACTAGATATGTCCCAATCTGGCTTAATTTCCAGCCTATGGGGAAATGGACGTTGGCTGTCACCTACAGTAACCGTTTACACTCCAGAACATAGAACCCAGAGAAATCAGATTTACATCACATTTTTAAGTAGTAGCTTTAAAAAGAGAGCTTATTGTCCATAAATGACTGGATGCTTTTAATCCAGTACATATTTATAATTTAAAAGCCTCACATCTCACTATCACTCACATAAACACTATTCCTGTGTGGTTATAAACATGTTAGGTATACTAGAGAAAAAAAACAGCGTGTGCATTTATAGAAAAACCATGTAATGACAGTTTGACTCATGATGAACTATTAGAAGTCTATTTTAAAATCTAAAACCCCACTAATATCGAACATTCCAAGTGAGGAAAAAATCAGTCGTGAATAGATCTGTAAGAGTGAAACGGACCCCTTCAGCAATTTGCCCACAGCCACAGGGGATATACCAACGAAAGAACATTCAAAATGAAAATCTGTTCAAAACGTCCACAGAACATTTCCATGCGCACAATCTCTACCACTGAAAGCCAATGCTTCGTGTATGAATTAAGCAAATCTGAAGTTTTCAGTCAGTGAACAATGGGCTCTCCACAAACTTGGCAGCGGATGGAACTGTGGAGATGGGATTAAGAAGACAAAGGACAGAAATACCCCATTTGCAGCCTTGGCTCCAGACAGGATTTTTCCTCTCCTCCCAACACCCTAAACTCCCATTTCCGTCTGGGCAGCGGTCCATTCCCGAGCTAAACGTGAAACAGGAACCAGGGCATTTTGAAATGAATGGCAAGGAGCTAAGAAATGTGCAGAAACAGAGAATTGCACCGAGGATGCTGGCAAAGGAAATTTGTAAATGCCTGTGATTAGGGGAAAAGGAGGTTGCAATAAGATGCAGATAAAATCCAGGTTTTGCAGATGGAGGGTACCTTCTGGAGCTGAGTGGAGGGCATCTCAGCAACAACGGCCTTCCAGCATCCCCGAGGCCCCTTCCACTTGCGGATGTTGGGCAGGACAGGCTGGTTTAGCTCCGTACAGAACTGCAAAGACAGAGCACAAGTCGGTGTGTGTGTTCCTGCCTAAAGCACCTGCAGCCAGTGGCAGCCGGAGGGGCCAAGAAGTGCCTGAACCGGACTCATCAGCCTTTTTCAGAGACTTGTCGGACTTTCTCTCTGTGTTCTTAGGGTTTGTGAAGACCCAGAGAACTCAAAAGCCCCACAAATTAAAAAATAAACTATCCAAAAAACACAAAATTACCCCCCCCGGGGGGGGGAGGGGCTCTCAGTTCATAGAAATCAATTCTTTTTGTAGCACTCTAGTAAAAATAGCTCAAAATGAGTTGTCGGAATCCTTCTTATCCTTGTAAAACCAGTGGTTTCAAGGTCCTGGGGAGCAGGGGCGGGGGGGTGGTACAGATGGGGTATCAAATGGGGAGGAAGAGGAATTCATGGTATCTTTTCTCCCCGGAGCCTAGCTTAGAGGTGGCAACACGGACGCCCAGCTTCACCCTGAACTACCATACTGTTCACCTTGATGCTCTTCAGAGAAGGAAGCCATACGGCCATGGATGGTTACCGTGCCCCACATGTGTGGGCAGGGCCTGCTTCATTTTGCTTATGTGTGTTCCATGAAGCCACTGGGTCACCAAGGCAAAAGAAAACTGCCCAGCCCAAGGCAATGAAGAGTTAAAAAACCATGTGCTTCAAAATATGTGGCTCAGTTCCTCCAACTCACTCCTCAAACACCACCCAGACTCTGGAGGATGGTCCCCAGAATGGGTCATGCTTGGGTTGAGTTTTTGAGACGCTCCCACATTTGGTTCTGCTCCTTCCTGGTGACATCGTCTGTCTGTCCCTTTGCTTCCTGCACCTGGGAGCCATGCCACTCCCCTCTTTCTCTGCCCGGCCCTCCAGGTGTTCTGGCCTTCTCTGGGCACCTCACCACTCTCTCTTCAGTGAGCTGCCCTTAACTAGTCTTACTTGGCTCCTCAGCTTCAGCTTACACCTCTGTCCCACAGGCCCCCGAATCTGTCCTACAGCTCAGATTTCTCTCCTGAGGTTTGAACGGTATTCTGAGAACCCTTTTCACATTTCCATCTGACGTTCCCCACAAACCACAAGCCCAGCAGTTCCCAAAGAGCCAAGCCATTCCCCCCCCCCCATTCCTATCTCAGGTCCTGGCATTTCCATCCTTTGCATCGTGTTTCAGAGCCCCATCTTCTCTCGCCTGGGTCACCGGCAGAGCTGTGACGTTCTCCTGCCGCTCGGTCATTCAACCCCCGTCCATCTGTCCCTGGGTAAGTCGTGATGGCCATGCTCACGCACTACCCCTGTGGTTGCTCAGGTGTGGCCCAGGGCCCACGAGTGTCAGCCTTACCTGGGAACTTGCTAGAAATCCTCTGGCCCCATTCTAGACCTACAGGATCAGAACCGCGAGGGAGGCCCAGCGATCTGTTTTTAACAAGCCCTCCAGTTGATTCTGATGCCCACCAAGGTGGGAGAGGCTCTGTGGCTGCACAGACCCTCAGAAGCATCTGCTGCCCACGCCCGCAGCGAGGGGTCAGGGCGGGGGTGGGGGCAAGCAGCTGTCAGCCATCAGCCCCCCGCAGGGACAGCCCCGCAGCACAGAGCTGCTCCTGGGAGTGCCCTCACATGGCTTATGCCATAAGAGGGAAGAGGAGGCATCCCTCCCTGGATAAGGGAGGGTGGATGACGGGAGGTCTACTTTAGATATGTGCTGTTCTGGGGGTTCTGCTTTGACAGGTACATAATTAAATGTCTGCCTTTTCCTGACCATACACAACATAAGAGCAGGGACTGTTCCCAAGTCCCCTTTATAAAGTTCACCTGGCACAGAGCATGGCGCCCAGGGACCCTCTCTGAGCATCTGCTGGTGAACCAGGGAACTCCTCAAATCCGTGTGTATGACAAACACTTCTTGCAGCTCCTTATGTAAATAATTGCCTCAATTTGAACCTGACTTTGAGTTTGCCTGAGAAGTGTTCTCTTTGGGATTTTGTCACTGGGGCTTTGATCAGGGCTGAGTGGCTGTGGACAATGCTGTTCCTAATGGGGCCTTCACCCCAGATGGGTCCCCTTGGCCAGATGGTCCTGGCTGGAAGCCATACTTGGATGGGAAATGAAGCACTTTGGAAAATGCAGCCAGAATGTATTGACGATAACTTTAGGGATCCAGCGAGGAAATGTACTCCACAAAGGTACTCCAATTTCCTGCTGGGGAATCATTTGCTTGCTGAGTGATCATTAGAGCCGAATCCGGGAATCATTAAAAAGGAGAACAGCTCCTAATGCCCATCCGGTGCTTCGCTCTTCTCCACACAGGGAGTCCTGCACCTGGATGCTCCCCAGAATCTCCCAGGAAGTACACTGGGGGGAGGGGCTCTATTAGCCCCAGTCCCTGGGGGGCCCCATTGTGCTGGGAAGAGCTACATGTAGGCGCCACAAATCTCATCTTTCCTAACCCTCACAGGGCCTTCAGATACCTGAAGACAGGTGGAGCTCCCGTTCACACAGCAAACACCAGCCCAGCTTAAACATTTCACACTCCTGGCAATGCCCCTTTGATGGGAAGGGTTAGAACGGGAAGATGTCCTTGACACTGTGCTCCATGCTTACCACTCTCGGAGACGACGGCCTTGGGGGCCTCAAGTCTGCTACTCAACATGTGATCATTAGGATCATCTGGGAACGCATTAAACACGCAAATTCTTGGGCCCCACCCCAACCGACTGAATTAGAAACTCTGGGCTGGGGCCAGGTGATCTGCATTGTAACAGCCTCCCCAGGTGACTCTCACACAGTTTAAAGCTGGTGTTATCGGATGGAGGAAAGACATTCTCCTTTCGTTTTCTACCTAAAAGCCTTTCTTTCACAGGTAAACTCTTAAGAGATTTAAGGAACCATAACTCCTGAACCTTAAGGGCCATCTATACTTTGTACCTCTGAAGCCTTGCTCTTGATAAACCTCTCTCAGCCCACAGAGTTAGATGATCCCCCTCTATGCCCTCTTTTTCAGTAGTTCTTATGTTATTGGCCACAATTAATAGTTGAAGGAACCAGGAAAAAATTGTTCATGGCTAGAAGCATTCTCTGCCCATCTGCATGATCGGCAGGAGGTAAGGGGTAGGACTGTCTTCCATTCCTAGGGCTAAAAAATGAATTGCCAGTTTGTTAACTTTAGTTGATGGCATTACCAGTTCACAGCAAACCTGAGGAGCACCTCTGAGATTCTTGTACTCAGAGGAAAAAAAAGAAATTAAAAAAAAGATTCTTGCTACTCAGAGCGTGGTCCATGGACAGGCAGCGTTGATCTCAGCTGGGAGTCTATTAGAAATGCAAAGTCTCAGGCTCACCTCAGACCTCCTGCACTGAAACAGGCATTTTCACAAGATCCCAGAGTGATTTACAAGTTTGGCAAGTGTGAGAAGCCTGCTCAGAACCTTCCTGTTTTGTATACCTCATCCCTATTAGCCCCCCTACCCACCAGCCCCCATGAGCCGGACAGCCTACCAGTTACTCCCGAGTGAAGGGCAGCATAGGAACGTTAGTTCATGTGAGTTTAGATTCAAGATTACACAGCGGGTAAGCATGAGGGGACGGTCCGAACTGAGATCTACCTCCTGCTACTCTACCTCCTGGCTGGACAGGTGAACTAGCCAGAGCAGGGCAGGTGCCCAGCGGAGGCCAGCCGCCTCACTGAAGCCTTAACATCCTTTCTCCTAAAAATGTCCCAGAAAAACAAAAGCATCCTCTGAGAGCCCTCAATCTGAACTCTGCCTAAAATCGTTTTATGTACAACAGTTGGTTCTCAAGTTTTCTGCTTCGCCCACAGAGCAGAAGGCAGCAATAATACACTCCCAAGTAAAAGAGGCTCACCAGGCCAGAAAAGGGTGGAAATGGGGAGATGTGTATGATGGGGAAGAAGTCTCCGAGGTAACTGACCTGCACAACCCGAAACTACCCCTCACAAATGTGTTTCTAAAATCCCGGGGGTCAGCCCATCCCCTGCCTCCCTCAAAATCACGCTGGTTCTTGTTTTTAACACCACAGATTTGTGAACCTCATCCTTTGCCGACTTGGAATCTCTGAGGTTAGGGCCAATTTGGGCACTACTCACAAGATCTCCCAAGCAATTTTAAAGTTTGAGAAGCTCAGACAAGGTTTGACAATCGCTGATTTTGAACTCAGCCTTCATATTCTTCATACCTGTGGTCCAGAAAGACGGTTTTGACTCTTCAAAACAAACATACCATCTCGGCTGTCACCCCACACTGTGAAAGCATCTGACTGTGGCTCTTCTCAGATAATCCTGGGAGATAACATGAAGGGAGCCGGCTCGCAGCATGGTGCACAGGAGACATGCAGCAGATACTGGCTGAATGAATGAATCAAAGGGATGGCTCTCGAGGATCCCAAGGATGGCTTCTCCCTCCCGGGATAAGTCACAAGAACCAAGACAGGCTGGACTTGTTTCTCTAGCCTCAATCCAAACAGGGGTGATATCATTCTTTAGCAGCGGCCCCACAACAAGCTGGTTGAGATGGCAGAACACTTGATCATCAACACCACATCCACCCTACTCTTTGGCTCGGCAAGAGGGGGCCTCAAAGTCAGACGTGTTAACTCCGATCTACAAGGTGCCCAAGGTGCTGGCATTTAGCCATGTCAAGTCCTAAAGGAAAAGAGTCCTTTGGCTCTGTTTGAGATGTGTGCCTCATCTTGGGTCTGCCCTCAATCGGCTCACTCTGCTTATCTCCGCAGTGACAGGAGGGTTCCAAGACTTGACACCAACCGTGTTTTGTTTGTGGACCTTTGGACTTTTTTCTTTCTTTCCATCCCTCCCCATTCCTGAAATGGCTATTCCTTACTCATCTGGTCCTGAGTGAGAAACATAAATAGGAAAGGCATTCTGCCAAGTTCAGGGGTCCCTTCATCATCCCTGTCCAGTTACGTCAGAATGACTCTCGGGGTTCTGTGAGCTAGGTATAAAGATGTGTTGTAGTGGTGACCGCACAGTTAGC